AAGAAATAACCCGCTCTCATGACGCTTATTTACTTTTTGTGATATTCTTTGATTTTTTGTTGCATAATTGATAATTATCAATAGCTTTTTCTTTCGATAAAGAAATATTTTAGACATGATCGAAATGAAAATATGTAGTTCAAAAAAACTTTTCAGTTATTTTTTAGTTGCCTGTTGTTTGCTTACGCTTTTTTTTTTTATTCAAGGCCCATTTTGATGTCATAAATACCCATTTCGCACTGCAAAAGAAATTCAGTTCCACACTGGCAAATAAACATATTCTGTATTAACCATAAATTATACTTATAGATCCCCGGTTCCCAAAAATTTAATTTTTCTACTCTGAGGGGGTTAAAAGCATCTTCACTCGAATAGAAATTTCCATTATATGTAGTGTGCACAGGCGCAGTGCATATCTTTCCATGGACATAGATTGAGCGATCCACGATAACTGACATTTAACTTATTTCGGGTCTACCTTTTGTCGGCTTGTGAATGGTTGCAGATAGGCTTTCTTATTGTGATAAACATTTTAATAACGGTCAGCAAATGATATTTCTTACAACGTCTTTTTTCGACTGATTTGCTTTAACCCTACCGTCATAGTCGTATCAGATATCCATACATATATGCATGTCAGACGCAATTTTTATTATGACAATATAGGTTTCTTCCTCAGAGCAATGAATGCGATATTTGTACCAAGCCCAGAATTCTACCAATAACACCAGTGAACAGCTTGTTGAAAAGTAAAAACAACACATAACTAATAAATCCAAGACTGGAGCTAGAGAATAGAAAGAAAAGATTCTAGGAAGATACTTGTCCCAAAAACTGAATGTCTTTCATTGAACAGCTCATTGTTCCTTAGCTAAAAAAGCATTTTGTGTCGTTTCGAGCGAAGCAATGGTTGGAAGAGGTGGAGATTGCAAGTATTACTTTATTCTCAAGTCTACCAAAGCAAGCGGATATTTTTCAAATTTGAAAAAAACAAAAAAACAAATTCGTTTACTTTTAAAAGGCTATGACTCAAATTCAAAGATATACCCTTTACTAATCTTAAATACATTAATAAAATGCAAATCCAATGTCTATTATAAAACTAGATTTTCTAGAGAGATTGGAAGAACAATATGGCTACTTACGTACCTTTATATTCAGAAACTATAACTATCTACGGTTATTCAAAGGGACAGGTGGACCATTTTTTTACCAACCATACGTTAGTCTCAGAAACGGGATATTTTTTATTACCTTATCCAATCTGTAATAGAGTTCAAAGCTCACCGCAGAGATTTGAGCTTTCAAATTCATGTGAATCTAGAATTATCAGCGATTGAATGTTAAAATGACAACTCTTCAATTTAAGATACTCTGTATTATGTAGAAAAGACATACACAGAAATAGAGAGTAAAATTCCTAGTTTGAAGTGTTTTTAAAGGAATTTTGCGAATTTCGTACATTTTGAATACTTCTGAAGACAATTTACAAAAAATCAACCCCCAAAAATGGCGCATCTGTCCCTGTAGCACAATATAAAAGTATGCACGAACAAAGCAGAGGCTATAAACGGAGCCAAAAGGCAAGCAAAGTTCATTTCCATAGACTCCTTAACTTCAAATATCAATTTCTCAAAATTACAAAAAAAAGCAGTGATAGTAACAAGTAACAGTTTATTGTTTATGCGACGATTTGTATCCGGTAGAGTTTTTGCTAACAATTTAGTAAATAAATGAACTTTTGTTGATCATCATCAATTTTGTTTTGTTTCATTACCTTGGTATCAACCTACATAACACAAAAACATGAAAAAACTATCGACACTTTCAGACAATCGCACCTAGACAATCTTCGAAAATCAATGAAAAAATTCGATGAAACGAAAATCTATAGGCATCATCAAAACCATATCAGTATTATTTTAAAGGACACATTTGTAATTTGAGGCGTCATTTAAAAAAAATTAGATGCAAAATCTTGCATTCCAAACATTCTAAAGTCATGGAAAAAGTCAGTTTCTTGGCTCCTTATTGAATAGAACCGTTGACTGAAGTTGTATGTAAATGAGTGTACAATAAACTAAATTGTACTGGGTTATTTTTAAATTACCAAATATTAAAGGTGGCGAACTACTTGGTACTATGATCACTATATGTGAGTTTCAGTAAGAGGTGTTGAATATGCATTTTCAAGTTATGAGTGATCATGAAATAACAGATTTAATATGCACTATTTGGATTTGCATATGCAGAACAGCTTTTAAATCAAAACGTCATAAGCATGAGCTTAAACAGTGTCTTCAAAAATTGAGGACAATTTTCAGGCAAAAATCGGGACTATCGGAATCTAAATGCATCAGTTGACTAGCGTGAATAAGCTCTGATAATGTCCGCTCTATGTTTTCTTCCTGTTCTGCGTGTAATGACTGTTCCTAAATTTACTTCCTAACCTTGGTAGAGGTTACCCACATTTGAATGGCTGGCTTGACTACTGATTGCCCATTAGATGAATTAGCTCATTATTTATTGATACAAAATTGTAATATGGCCTTGATTGTGTGGTTTCTAAGTATTGTTTCTTTGTATTGTTTTAACATTTCTTAGAGCACTAGAACTTAGCTCTGACCACGCGTACTGATTCGTTGCACGGTTTTAACTCGTAGGTATAACCGTTATTGATTAAATAACTAACTTCTAGGTGCATAGTTAATTATATAACTTTTTCGGTACACTGCATAGATTGAACGTTCGGAGCAAGATGCTAACTAATAAGATGTGTGTCCACTGTGGGTTTTAAAGGGTTTAAGTCTCTATCCACTTGCTATACATACTACTACTTATACTGGGAGACTGGAAAAGTCTTCCCAGTCTCAGAAAAACGGCACATAAATCAACCTAATGCAGCAGAGACTCGTGAGTAGCTGATACTAAATATCGAACTCAATAAAAACAATTCCATTAAAACATACCTTACGCGTTGACAATCCTTAAAATACTAACAGGTCCTTGAACGTCACATTGAACACAGGATTTCGATTGACCAAACACACGGCCTTCATTTTCCAGTATTATAGCTTTACGGTGACGTTACAAAAGACGAGCCAACCGAAGGGCTCAAATGGAACTGTTTTCCCGTCATATAAACGTCGCATTTACTGAAAGATGGCGCGAAAGACGTTTGACCAATTTTAAGAAACTTTCCTTTTACCTTTCAATGGTTTCTCTAACAGTATTGGGGTATTTTCATCCCCAGTTATTGTCCTTGACATAAACGCATCCAAATTTGTTTGTGCGAACATCTCATTTGGATTCAGTTATTGCGTCAAAATTGGTTCATGAGCACTATAGAAGCTGCAATTGTCATTCAATTTGAAACTTGGTGTGATCCCTGAATTGATAAGGTCATGGTTAAGGAGTTGATGATATTAGAACATTTTCTGAGTATTTAATAGAAACTTGAGAGGGTATGATTCATGCTGCTTTAAATTGAATCTAAAAATTTAACAAAGCTGCTGTTCACCTTGTCTGGCAGGCTTTCTTTAAATATGTTGTGGAAAATTGGTGTTTCTATATTTGCAGAAGATAAATTGTAGAACCTACATTTTTTTTGCATCTGCAAATATTCGTAGTCAGATAGTTTCAGACTATTTTATTACTATGACTCAACATTTAATTCTTCATGGATATATCAATAATACATAATTATTTATTCATTGATTTCAGATTTTGGTAAAGCTTTCAAATAGATTCATTACATATGGATTAATGCGCGAGTTCGTAGAGATTTCAACTGATAAAGATATCCTATTCCATATATTATCCATTGTTCTAATTCAAGAGACGCAATACAGGGAAGTCATTTTTAATTATAATGTATTTGGGAATAATTATATGTGCGCTCGCTCTTGTGGATTTAGGTTTGACGACATCATGGAAAATAAACCTAAAACGTGAACCATTTAATATGACTTATGTTGATTCATTTAAGCACGACAGTGTAATCACTTGCGTTGCCTATTGTATGTCGGATTCCTATCTGACCACAGCATCATTGCAAGATGGCGTTTGCTATTGCTTATCGGATTTGCCGAATTCTTTTTCGAGTCAAATTCGTTTAACATCAGTCATTGAAAAATTTTCAGGTAAATATTAAGAAAATTATTTGCATGTATCTTTAAGGAGAGGAAAGCAACATAATATGATTGTGCTTTTAATAACCCTGTCACATCGGAAAAGTATCCTTACCGACCTGCTACGGCGACGGAAATTAAGCTCAGAGCCCGTTAAGGTCGCTATAAGCGTGAAGGAAGGTTAAAATACCGTAAGATGGACGACGTTGTCGCCAAAAGCGTCGTTGAGATCGCCACGGAATCGAGAATGTCTGACAAGCGTCTAATATCTCCATAAACGCATTAATGAAGTGCATCAGACCCATAGATTTTATTAGGGAAGGAAGATCGCAGGTTGACAGTTGTAGTATTTATATTATTATTCTCGCGTTTTCTTCAGGTTTGTCGCCGACCGAGTGCAATTTTAGTCGGCGTAAGATCGCAAATAGACGTAGTCCTGTTTGTCGGGACCTTAAAGCGGAATGGGATCTAAGTAAGAACGCATGAACTATTAAATGGTATTTTAAGACCTAAAATATGAGTCCCTTTTTATTTGGTGCGAGTTTTGTGTCACGGTTCACTGTCGACGTTCATACCTTTTCATTTTAAAATATTCAGAAATTAGAATGTATAAAGAGCTAGGTTGGAGATCAAGAGATTATTAACTGGTATAATGTGTTCCCGCTTCCATAAAATGATGTTCCAATCTTTGAGTTTTGAATATTCACTCGCATCGTGTCTGCTTATTATATTATAAATATATATTATAAAGAACTACAATAGAAACTGACTCAGTTGATCGTACACCAAAACACATAAATAAATAAATTTACACTGAGATTGCGTTAAAACTATGTTTTTTTTATCATTCCATTGTCTTATAAATATATTATGTCGTATCCTTTTTTCAAGAATATCGGAAATCCGTTTTCGAATACTGGGCGAGGTTCGTTGACAACTTGTTTGTTTCATCAGAAGACCATAACAAAATAAATCACATTTTCATGCAGTTATATTAGTTTTAATTTTGATAACCTGTGCTGTCAACATAAGATAATAAACGCAAGATATAACATTTAAAATGTAATATTATTCCAGGACCATCTGAATGTGAATTGAAAGGTTATCAAGTATATGTAAATCTGGGCATTTGCCTGAAAATAAACGCAACTGAAGTTGGCTGGGATGCTGCTTATGACGTTTGCCAACAAGATAGTGGATATCTTCTAAATATATACACAGATGAAATATACAGTGCTCTTGAACAGTTTACCACGGATCATGGTGTAGGTAAGGAAAATGTATGATTAATAACCAAACAAAAGTCTAGTAATGCTGGTGGCACACGAACGTTTTTTGTCGCCGACGAGAATCTTGAGTAAAATATCTCATATATCCATGCCTCCCCAACAAGATGCTGACATTTTGATATTTGTTTCCGATTGTTTTAATCGTGTGCCCGCACTAACGGCGGGCTCCACAGGGCGAGATCAGACTATCAGAAAATGGCGAAAATATGACCGACTTAAGATATTCCGTCTCGTGTGCCCACAATCAGTTGGTGAAACTCTCGATAAAAAACCGTTCGTCTGCCCAAAGCATAAGAAAACAACAGAAGTAGAGATTATCAGAGATCTTCGTCATTAGTTGGTAACTTATTTACAGCCTTTGCTACTTTTCAGAAAAGGTATATATTGGTGGTTATGGCGTGAAATCTAATGGGTTTGAATGGTCGAGAGGTGGACAAATAAAAACTGAATATTGGAATGCTTATGAACCAGATAATCATCAAGGGACAGAATACTGTGTATCGTACTTCAATGGAGATACTATTGGCTTGTATGACATAGTCTGCACCGAAAAGCAACCATTTGTTTGTGAACTAATGCTTTAAATTCAACTTTTTTTCTGTTCCGGTAATACAAATTGCACCGAAGCATGCAGGCGTTCATTTTAACGCTTGTTTCTATCTCATTGTTTTGAAAGTTCTATGGATTACATAATTGAAATGAAAATTAAACTTTGTTTTACACACTTCTGCTTATGGAGCTAATGAAGGCATGGGATACGGGTTGGAATTAAAGTCATGGCAGTAATCTCCAGCAATTTTTCGAGTTCCAAATGGATATGAATGTTACCTTAACACATGGCTGTTTTATGCTTCTCTTTAACAACCTGAATTTGGAAAAAGCATCTCTGTTGGTAAAATTCACAGTGAGATAAGCAAAGCGATATTTTTCCATGGTCCAGCTTAAAAAAAGATAGCTGCTCTGTTTTACAGATTTGACAAATGAGTCTTTACACCACCAGACAATTTCTAATTAAGATGGGTTCCCTTATTTTCATTTATGAAAATGAAAACCCTAATACTTATATGAATAGAAAGTAGAGGTGTCCTAATGACTTGGAAAAATACCAGTTTGTCTCTCATGTCCATAATTAATTCATAATTAGCTAAATTAGAAGAGAATTACCAACAAAATTCCAATCAAGACCTATCAAGGACGGTCAAAAAGTCTGTTTATGAAGACTTACATACACGGACATTTATGATTGGTTAAAAACTATTATTATATGCAAAAAGATCATAATGATAAGATTAAGAATACATGATAATTCAATAAAAGCACTAATTAATCAAATAGTTTGCTTGATTTGACACTTAAAAAATAAAGAAACCCATCTTAAAGGCCTTTAAAAAAAATCTCAAAATCCACTATAAAAATCCCACATTTACTATTCTTGTTGGAACGATTTAAGTCCATCTAATTATATGGAATTGAGTTGTTTTTTTGTAGCATGTAAATGGTTTGGTCGATTAAGCCGACCTTATTGACTGGACTTATTAATGTGAACGAAATGGGGTTATATCATCGTCAGTATTCTAAGTACATGTTTATTATTATCGATGTAGAAGTCTTACCCAGTTTGTTTCATTGAAAATTACTCAGGTGGTTTTCAATGGTTCCAAATGAGTCAGTTATATGCCGACCTTAACAAACTTCATTTAGCCAAGCTCCGAATCTCATTGCTGATGCTTGGTAATAATGATACATACATTCCGTACATTGTAATCAATATTTTATTGATAAGAATATGATTTTTCTCTTCTAAATTTTAAATGAAGAATCTATTTCGCCATATGTATGGACATTTTGGAGAAGTCAACCTTCCTTTCCCGCAGGATAAAATATCAAATATATAAATATAATTTTCAGCTGTATGCTATGCATCCATGCTTAGACCTATGGTAAGTGATTCCGTTTTCGCATTCTCTTAATTGCATTGCGCAAAACAAGATTATAAGGTTCTGGTAATTTTGTACCTACCATCTTTTATATAGATTGTTTTCTGCATTATATGTGTAAAGCTTGGATTGCAATAATTGACAACCACACCACTTTCGGCATTTCCCACGCCATCAACTAGGTTTATCAGGGTTTGATTAGACCAAATTGTCGATTCCTATGTAGTTTCTTAAATTTCAGTTAAAAAAAAAACTCAACATATTTGCAGTGGCCGGGGAATTATACACATTTTCAATATTAAAAACGTAGTAAATAATACCTGAAAATATTTCTAAAATATGCTATGTTACAGCTGTGTATCTACGTGATCAAACTGAATTAGTTTTAAAACGGCTAATTAAAAACGGAGTGTACTATTTGTTAACTAAGCAGCTTATACTAATTTTGATGTTAATATCTTATAAAGAATCAATATTTTTAGTTGAAACTTTTAGAACACGTAGGAGAATTATTTCTATAGAATATGGCTTTAATTTTGCTTAAATCCGTATATTATTTTTCTAACAACTACCAAAAAGTTTTATAAACTTAGCAAGTTTACGTACACCTTCTAAATAGTTTTGAAATAAGATATTTGCATACTGCCTCTGTAATGTAGCAAAGTAGAATCTCTTTAGCCTACTAAACATAATTGCATTTGGCGCTGTTAAAGGAGAACCTTCAATATCCGTTGACCAATCATACCTTAGTTTCAGAAACAGGAATTATTTTAGCTTACATAATCTTTCAAACCCACGTATATCCATAATTATTCACGTTTGAAAGTTTTGTCTCAAATTTTAGTGAGACTATGCCATATATAGAAAACATATTTATATCCTAATAGACAGTTTGAGGTATATTTGAAGGGATTGTGCGATTTTTAGTGCGTTTTAGTACTTCTAAGACGATTACAGCATAATAGAGACCCAAATCAATCCCCGAAAATGCTGACTGTCCCTTTTAACGGTAAAGTGAATGATGATATAATATAAATTCGTATTTATTCAGAAAACTTTGTTTTTTTTTTTTTTTAGTTTTTTCAATTAAAAGCTTCACAGGCGAATAATCAATGATGTAAGCTTACTGATGCTACAGGAATACCATTGCGTTTCAATAATTCTAGTTTCTTTTGTAGTCAAAAATATCTGTGTTTTAACACAGAAATGTGGATATATGTTTATATTTAACAACGCAATGGTATTCTTTTAACGTCGGTAAACTTATATCATTGATTTTTCGTGAAGCATTTAATTGAAAAAATTTCTTTTTTTTTTAGTTTGTTTATACAATAATTCTAATGCTGCAGAGATATCAACACCGAATCTTGATCAGCGCCATGATAGCGTAATTTATTTTAAATATGAAATATGTCCGAAAATAGTTATCTCTTACGTAAATCGATATAGTTTTCCAAATAAGGTTTCGCATATTCTTCATTCTCTTTTATCAAGTTGCCATTAATAAATGTTAAGAGATGAAATTAGCAAAGATTGTGATAGAAAATTGTTTAGATTCATCTAAATTATTGGCTCAAACACACATGGCCAGTGTGTAAAATATTTATACCAGTTGGTTTCTTACCTGATGTAAGTCACGTTGAACCATGTAATAACATACAGGATGTTATAGTCTAGTTTAAGACAAGATTCAGTTTTAGATTTATAAAGGTTAAATATGTTTATTGTAACTTTGTACCTGCAGAACGTCTGCAGAGTATCTTTGTGAATTGGTAAACCTACCGAAATAAACTGTTCAATTTACCTCTTACATCACTCATATCCGTCATTACATTAAATTCTTTAAACACTTTAAATTATTGTTATGAAAAAAATATTAACCCCTTTATATGAATAGGGAAATCCCTACCACTCGGCTGTTTTGTGGTACTGTGTGGGGAACACTAGGTAACCAGCAACCAACAAAACTCTCTTAAAATGCGACATTTTATATCTGTCCCTGAACGTGTTGATATCCCATCCGTACATAAAGTTCGGGGAACGGGTAGGACCAGATTTGTCCAGCTATATTCGAGAGAAAAACATACAAAGGGACAATAATCTTATTCTCTCCTTCCAAGCGATGTACAATTTATGTTGCACGAACTAGTTTTGTCAGTCAATACTTCTTAATGGTCACGACAGGCGATAGGGCGACTTTCTACCAGTCGCAAACAGTTCCGTTTTTACCTAAGAAATAGCTCTTCAGTAGTCCCTGTGCAGGATTCTGTTCTGTGTACCCTTATTATTTTAAAATTGAAATAGAACAAAATTATTACATCAGTCGAGTTCAGACGTCTTCCAATGATTCACGCCTCGACTTAATATGATATGAATTGTGTGTGGACTGACATTGAAGTCACCTTCAAGGATTTTTCTAGCAGACGATTTCTCAATACGTCCTTGATTGAAGGTCAGTTTCATGAACGGCATTGAACAAATCAGTTTTTAATACGCAAGTACGGAATAAATGTATCTTATGCCAAACACATCAATATTGGTATACAAAGACACTAAATTTGGTTTATAAAGATAGAGGTAAGATAAGGTTACTTTTTTTAGTAGACACTTTTTATGTTCCTATTTGCTTATGCTGAAGAGTATTTTCGGCCCATTGACAGTTTGTCGGAAATATTAGCCACGCAGTTAACACAATCTTCGCAAAATTGTCCGTTTGGTACATAATTTTACGGGTGCATAATGGATGTTTCATATTTTATACAAATTAAATTGTGTTTTATATCCACGCATGCCTACACCCAACAAGTTTTATTTTGCAATAAAGCGACCATACACAACAGCCTTTTGTAGTGGATTAATATCAATAGGATCTCAACCGTTACATTATACAATTAATGCATAGTTATAGTAAATATAATGGCAAATATATCCGTGTTGTATCCTGTTACTTAATAGAGTAAGTTAATATTATTACAATAAATAATGGCGTGTCCTAAGTGTCGTGTACAATTCGTGTGATGAATGGCTATATTTTAAACGGCTAATTTGGAAGTAAAAGTGATATTTTGATCTGATATGCTCAATATATGCATGTAAGGTAAATAACGCATCGGGCGATTACTTATTTCTCAATGACACGAGTATAATAAGTCAATTTCTAAAAAACTGAGACTGTTTGGACGGGACAATATTCATCCATTCCGAAATTAGCTGGGAAATCAGCAAAGCATTTGTTAACCCTCGACTCTCCACGAAAAGCGCTCAAATAAGAAATTGGTCATAAATTCACGATCATGCACAAAATTCACGCTTCGTAAAAAATATAAATTTGTAGTTTAGTTAGAGTAGAATTGTCAACACGTCTAATAACACAGGGAAAAAACCATAAAAAGTACAAAGTGAATGATAATTTTTTCTTCTTTGAAGAAAAAAATTATAAATGTGTTTCATTGCCTACGATAAATTGGATTAACTTGTATGATGAAAATTAAGTAGCGAGATAGATTACTGTTTGTTTACTAGGTATAAAATGTCTATGATGTCTATAAAGCATTTCATGATGACGAAATTGTTGAATGAATGAATTGTTGCACATTAAATTGTGAAGTTATATGGTTGATGATGTCACTCTAATGTCACAGTGTTTTATACTAATGTCATCTTTATAATATCAAGCTATTACGGACATCGTACCTTGATTGCAATAGACACTTTTCTAGTATCACGGAATGCAGTGACAGATTGTATACATTATGGCTGCTGACAGACTTTCTGTCAAGGCCTCTGGTCGGCTATATTCGTCGCGTATGATCATATCGCTTCATTTACAAACGTTCATGATACATGAAGTCATGGTTTATAAGTACGATATTCATAATAGCTTGACATTGTGAAGATGCACTGATGTACGAGAGGCTTAATTTTTACATTAATAGACACGTGTTAACTTGCACATAATATTATATTTTATAACCACATTTGTCTCTGATTAGATTGTAATGAGGTGTGATTGTAACTATTGAACTAAGAGATGTATTAATATAATTATTATAGGATTATGATGATCTGGTAATCTGAAATCAATTGAATTGGTCTGTAAGCCTATATGTTTCTAATTCATCTTTGGACGAAGTGAAGTATTTAATTATAAGTATTTAGTAATGGAACACAACTCTCACAATGTTGAAGAAAACAGTCTTGTTACAGAAAACTCTCCATTGAACAAAGATGATAACAAGAAAGAAATATCCACAAAGACAGGAATAAAATCTCTCGAAAGGTAATCTAAAAGTCAGACATACGTTTAGCTAAGTACAACTAACTATTTTCAAGAACGTTTGGTGGCTACCACTACGTGCCCCACGGAAAGAGTCAAAATTGACAACACAACTATAAAGTTTACAAGCTACAAAATGTAGGATTTTTAGATTGTTAGAAGTTTGTACTAAATAAAATATCGCTCAATTACAGGGTTAAGAGACAAAGTGAAAGAACAACATCAGAATGTAGCGTAGACTCTAATGCCTCTAGTAAAAGGTTGGCATGGCACAGGATTAGTTCGTTAGACCTTCATCATCATGACAGCATTATTCAATTACCACAAGGTTTATCGGAAGACTTAGATACTTCAGATGGTACGTACACCAAAATCAGACGTCTGTGGTTCCTCAATTCCACTAAAACTAGGTATTTGATGAGGTCACTAATCGCGTAAATATACATTATCACAAAAGGCCCTTTGCCTTTAAACACTTAAGTTTAAGAGGAATAGCAGGAACCACAGACGTTTGACTGAAAATTTGAATGGTGCAAATTGATGCTGTCAGCCCCAAAACTCGTCAAAAATTAAAAACAACCTTTAAGGTGGGAAGATCCAAACCTCTCTACAATCTCTTTTAGGTGGAAAGATCTAAACTAATAATAGTGGGTAAAGTAAACAGATGAACTAAACGAGATCATTTTCTCCTTGATTTCTTCACAATGTACATGCTTACAAAAATGTTCAAAAGTAGCCGTATTTGATATTTTGTGCTCAACAGCCTGCATTCTTGAGAGTATAAATTCAGCAAATCGCAAAAAATGACAATAACTCCGATACCTGTATTGTATTTCCTTTTGTCGGAGATCTTGAAAATTTTCTGATTTCCAAATGTGCTTTTTCCTTTATATGCTAATTGCTGCTTTATTTTTAGTACCATGGTGGACATCGCAAAGATTTTTCCTCGCGATCATTTGTTTCTGTGGGTTTGCTTCTCTCTACGGTCAAAGAGTAAACCTCAGCATAGCTATAGTATCTATGGTTCAACACCAACCAAAAGATATCATATACGATAATAATATGACATATCTTGCCAACCTCTCCTTATCATCTAATTATACAACCAATGCCAAATGCCCAGAAGCATTGAAAACCGATTCGAAGGTAATAGTATGGATTTTATTTTATTTTTCAAAATATATAAAATACTCATAAAAAAGAAATTAAATTTGTAAAAAAAAAAGTGTTAATCGAACAAGTTTTCTTTTTATTTCTATTTGCGCTGTCGGTCTGGTTGGTATTTAAATATGAAGAATAATATGAATATTGTAAGATTTAATTATTTGCGCATTCTTTTATGTAAAATCACCCTCCGATTGATTGTATTTTGTTTAAAGATGGTTTCCTTTTTTTTCATTTATGAAAATGAAAATGCTAATACTTATACGAATAAAAAGTAGAGGTTTCTAATGACTTGGAAAAATACCAGTTTGTCTCCCATGTCCATAATTAATTCATAATTAGCAGAGAATTGCCAGCAGAATTCAAATGATCAAAGTCTTTTTATTTTGTTTATCCAGACTGTTCATACATGGACATTATTGATTGGTTAAAACTTTTAATTTTATGCAATAAGAACATAATGATATGATTGGGAATACATGATAATTCATTAAAAACCCCAATTATCGAATAGTTTGCTTAATTTGACAATGAAAAATAAGGAAACCCATCTTTAAATCTTATGTGCAATTTTTATGTTTCAGCCGGGAGAATTTCTCTGGAATAAAGAACTTCAAGGGTTGATACTTGGATCTTTTTTCTGGGGTTATCTTCTCCTACAAGTTCCCGGAGGATGGCTAAGTGAGAAATTCGGTGCTAAAAAAGTAATAGCTCTAGGCATGTTCCCAGTAGCCGTACTGTCAATTCTTACTCCAGTCTGTGCCAGGACTAATCCTTATTTATTAATAGTATTAAGGATAATACTTGGAATAGGTGAGGTGTGTTAAAAAAAAATCATCATTTTTATGTCAAATATTTAATTTCAGTTAATGAGTACTTTAAATTATCGTGGCCACAAAAAGATTTAAATTTTAAAAAATTATAAACATTAAGACTATACGCGTCTGCGCTCGGTCACAGATAATGCAAACTAATATACAAAGTTGATTATTGAACAGAAGCTTAAATCTAGTCACCGGTAGTGAAAGTTGAAACGTAGTGTGTAATAAAACTAAGTAGTATATCATAAAATTGTGTCTGTTATTTAATGTGATCTCTAAAATGTCGCTAAAAAGGATTAGGTTAACATGACAATTGCTAACCTGAACTGTAATACGACTCTTTATCACACAATTATTTTCATATAAGTAACATTGCAATTGCTAACAATTGTGTGCCAAAATAAAACCAATCCAAACTTTAACTTCTTGCTTCTTGATGTCCAAGATCTACTGACAAAAGTCTGATCAACAAACTTGATGGACAGTTCCTTTTAAATCACCAAATCACGATTTTAAATCAACAGTTATAACAGATCAGATTGGCGTATTTCTTAATTCCTTTATTAGCCAAGTAATCTTTTCATTGAGAAAATCGTGAATTTCAATCTAGTACAAACAAACAACAATAGACAAAAGGATTTACAATAACAATATTGTTTAGCAACAAGTCATGAGAAAAATATGTCTTTTTTCAGAGCGTCATGTATCCTGCCGCACAAGCTCTATGGGCCAACTGGTCACCCCCTAATGAAAGAAGTCGTCTAATTGGTCTTTCCTACGCAGGTAAGATTCAGTTATTAAGAAAGTGTACATGAAATTGACTGTTAATGGACAAACAATAATATGGTTTATATACTTTTTATTACTTAAAATAATTGCAGCAAAATATCATACTTACAGGAAAATTTCATACTTAAGTGCCACATATTTAATTTTGGTCAAAGCAGCAGCTGGTGAAGCAAACCGTTGAAATATCGTTCGTTCTTTTTTGGAATGATTCACTACTATTTGTATTCCACTTTGAATCAGGAAACTACTTTGGGCTTCAGCATCATAAAAGGAATCAGAGAATTTACTGTAGAAAGAACCATTTCAGATACCATAAACATAACACAAAGTTCTCTTTCAGAGGACGAGGACGTTTTGGTCCACACCTCTTACTTGCATCTGAATATATTAATCCCAATGTGCATCATTCCCAGTAAATAACTGCATTTCTTTTCAAGACAGTCAAATACTCAAATTTCAGGAGGACAGTTCGGCAATGCTTTGATATTTCCTATAGGTGGATTCTTGTCGCATTATGGATTTGACGGCGGATGGCCTTCTGTATTTTATGTAATTGGTAAGTGCAGTTTATGATTTTAATCATGTATGTCCATATTATGAAAGAGTACAAGTCTACTGCGACAAATCTCTTGATGTTGCACATGAATTCAAATTTAGTTATATCCTCTCAGCACTTTGCGAAATACCATGGTTGGTAAGGTTTTACTTGAAGGGACGAGTTATTGGAAGCATATCTAATATGATAATCATACAACTATTTTAATTAGCATGAAACGTACTCGAAACCTTGTCTTCGGTCCTGTATATAATAACGTGTGAATTGAATTTGGTCAAACGCAGTTACTGGCTATCAATAACGATTTCAACTATTAAAACTATCTGTATTTTTATAGGTTGCCTGTCTTTCATATGGGTAGTATTTTGGTGTATTTTTGTGCATGATTCACCAAATGAGTGTAAAAGAATAACAGCGGTAGAAAAACGGTATATAGAAGCTAGTTTACATGTCAACAAAAATATTAATAAAAGGGTAACTCTTTGTATTTCTAAGATGACAGACAAGGTGATAGTTTGTAAAATCTTTGAATTGTTCGTGAATGGTCGGAATTAACATAATAAGCACAAGCAGTTTTTCATTGGAGACTAAAATAAAATCAAATTTTATATGAACATTTCAGGGTTTAAATGAGAATTTATGATTATAAGTTGTAATTAAAGGAATATTGGCATCAAATTGGCTTAACAGTTGAAAAGATATAATATCCCTTGATATATACGATAAATCAATTGAATAGGCTTAAATATGTCATCTGAAAACTGCAACTGATAAAGGCCATGGAATGCCATTTTTAGGGTTTGATTTTGGCCTTGAATATAATATGCAAATAGTTTTCAGAAACACTAGAACTGCACAAAATCACAAATTCACATAAAGCTGTAACTAGAGTATTTACTTTTGTATATTGTTTCATTCACAAGCCTGTACCCAAGTTTGGGTTGTACGTCGTTGATAAGGTCTATAAGAGAAAATACCATTGACGTCGCTGTACGATAATACTCAAGTCTCAAACCGTTCTTAAGCTTACTGATATTACCTACTAGTTTAGCGGAACTATTCCCGTTTTTGAGACCAAAGTACGATATACTCTCGAAAATGGCGAATCGGTCGTTTTAATTAAATATTTAGTATTACTTATTAGATTGGAATGTCACTACTTACCACATTGTATATATTTCTGTAATCAGGATCAAAAAACCCCATGGAAGAAAATATTTACATCTAAAGCAGTCTGGGCTATTATAATTGGTCATGTTTGTGGTAATTATGGAATCTATATGTTACTGACACAGCTACCTAGTTATATGAAAGAAGTGTTAAAATTCGATATTAAATCGGTAAGTGCACTTACCTGAAATATCTAAAATATAAGGGAAAAACGATTTTGGTTATCAACATATTGCAAAGACATAGCTAACTTGAAGATCTTATAAAATGTCAAAACCAGGCCCCATTCCACAATAAACCTTACGGAAGCGTAGTATTTCTCATTCTAAAACACACTCGGGGTCCTGGTATCTACGGTGAGAGTTATTGGTTCTGAATATAATAAATGTTCTTGCTTGTAGTGTATTAATCTATGACAAACTATGATAATGTTTCACAGATCGTTTGAATTGTACTATTTAGTGTTTATTTCTTTTGGGTTACCCATTTGCTTTTTATCAATTTATTTATTAAGATAATTGGCATTTCAGAATGGTCTCTTTTCGATGTTGCCGTATTTGTGTTTTTGGTTTATGATAATTGTATCTGGGAATATAGCTGACTTCATGATCAGAAAGAAATATTTCTCAGTGGCCACAACAAGGAAAATATTTTCAGCTCTAGGTAGGTGTAGGTATTGAAGTCCATTGCGGATCTCAAAAACATTTTTTAGTAGAGCATCTTGTATTCACTGTATACATTGAGTATTCGTTTGCTGTGTTGGTTATGTCAAACAAATGTCGATTGTGATCGGTGTGCGCAAGTACTATGACCTTGAATAGGTCGTCTTCACTCATAATTTCAGTCGATCCAGATGTACATGGGTACGGATAATCCGGGAAAGATCAATGCCAAGAGGTTTGGCTTAGGTGAACCTAAGTTATCATTGTTAAATATAGTTGCTTCTTTGCTCTTTTTAACAAATAGAAAATATTTTATATTTGTAAAGGCACGGTATGTCCTGGGATATTTCTGATTGGTACAAGTTTTATGGAATGCGATCAACAAATAGAAGCTGTGGTTATGGTAACGTTAGCTGTAGGGATGTGTGGATTTCATTTTAGTGGCTTCTTCATAAACCATAGTGATATAGCTCCACGATTTGCTGGTACATTATTTGGTATATCAAATACTGCCGCCACAATTCCTGGTATATTAGCTCCTTACATTGTGGGTGCTTTAACTAAAAACGTAAGTAGAAAAGCAAGAATCTGTTCAATACTATTAATAAGGAGAGAGTGTTGTATTTTATATATCAGCAAAATATAAGGTTTTTTGATAGCCAGGAAAACTTTAAGAGATAAATATATAACAAGAGAGATAACTCTTATGAAATTTTCTGACCTGTTCTGTGTGATATGAATTTCTATTTTTGATGAGGAACCCAAATCATAATTATGAGTAAACAAATCGCACTCCATGTGAAATGGGTCAAATGCTGCTGGTCAAAGAAAACTGAAATATTTCCTGAAGATTCACACTATTTGGCTGGCAACCGTCTTGGTTGTGTTGTTTCCAAATGTAATTTATGTGAACTTTTCCACCTTTTTACCCTAACTTAAAATATTTCATTTCTAAAGCGTGATTGTATGTGAGCGAATATTCTGTGGCCAATAATAGCTGAAAATGAATGTATTTTCAGGGTACTCGAGAAGAGTGGCAAACAACCTTTTACATAGCTGCTGGTGTTTATTTTTTTGGAGCTGTATTTTACGCTTTGACGGGGGAAGGAGAAGTACAAGATTGGGCTATGATACCAGCAAGTGAGGATACAGATGTCTCAGAATTAACAACTTTCAAACAAACACCAAGTACACTCAAAGGCGACGATACTCAAACGTTACATAATGGAGTAAAGTCAGTTTAAGCACCAAAGTAACTTAAATTCGAGTGAATCTTATTCTATTTTCCATTGTTGTTATACCTTGAATTTTCCTTCAGAAAATAATGTTAGCTTTATAATTCCATTCATTCAATATAAAAGACATGTTGATATTGGTTATCAAACCACACGGAGAAAGGGGAAATCAGCACACATGTGGGTAGAAAATAATTCCTGATCATTCTACATGAGGAATCTTAATCTGATAGAAGCACTCCAGGCGAAATGGGTCATAGTCCTTATTAGTGGTATATCTGGCAAACGAAATATTTTAGCTTTTAAAATGGGGATATAGGGAACCCAAATCAAATCATGGAAAATTGTTTGTAATGTAAACACAGAGCCAGATCAAAGTCATCTGGGATACTAAATCATGATTTAGAGAGATAATCACGCAGAGCAAACATCTGACTTCCTTGTGACCGAATTTCATGCCTTTCCTAAGCGAGACCTGTCGCTAAATCCATAATTGCAGAAATGTACGTTGTTCTGCTATATTAATTGACGATATGAGACATTTTTAAGATGATTTACATTTTTAATTCATTACTTAACATAACTTCGTAATCAAGTCAAAGGTATTCTGAATTATTTTTGGGAAGATATAATTTCTCTCTAAAAGATACCTATAAATTGGGCTTTGTTGTCTGTAAGAGTTTACGAATTGTGCACATTTCCTCAAAAATCGTGATAAAGTGAAACGAAAAAGTCATTCCATCAGATTCTGTAGAACCAGAAAATACAACTTTTGGTAAAAGATAATACAACTTGGGTAGTTCATGCAAATTTAGAACAAATGCGAGACGCAAAAATAAGTGGTGCAATAATAAGATCTAGAGCTGAGTGGCATGAAGAAGGAGAAAAACCAACTAAATTTTTTTTTTATCATTAGAAAAACGTAATTACACAAGTGAATTAATAAAAGAACTAGAATTAGAAAATGGGTGTAGAATAACGAAGCAAGAAGAAATTATTTTACAACAGGCAACATTTTACAAAAAATTATATAAGACTAATAACATCACTAATTGTATTATCTTTGAAACTGATTCTTGGAAAAATATGCAATTTAAGGTTCTCTCAGAACAAGAAATAAATCATCTAGAAGGACTCCTCACTATGAGGAACTTACAGCCAGCCTTTCTAAAATGAAATCTAATAAAAGTCACGGACTAAGCGGTTATAGTGTTGAGTATTTCCAATTTTTCATCAATGATTTAGGATATTTCTTGCTACGGTCTATTAATCATGGTTTCTAACAGGTGAACTAAGCCAAACACAGAAAAGGGGGTAATCACATGTATTCCTAAAACTGATAAATAAAGATCACTTCTAAAAAATTTGAGGCCCATTTCTTTACTTGACATACCGTATAAAATTGCTTCAGCTTGTATTGCCGAAAGAATTAAATCAGTTCTGGATTCTATTATATCTTCGGACCAAACTGGCTTCATTCCAGGCAGATTTATTGGGTAAAATACCAGACTGATTTTTGATACTCTTTTTGAAACTGAAAAACAAAATCTACCGGGACTAATTTTACTAATTGATTTCGAAAGCGCTTTTGACACTGTCAGTTGGGATTTCATGCAAAACGCTTTAAGTGCTTTCAATTTTGGGCCATCAATAAAACTTTGAGTTGAACTTTTTTATAAAAACATTGAATCATGTATTATTCAAAATGGCCATCTCTCAAATTTCTTTGAATTAGGACGTGGATGTCGCCAGGGGGATTCTTTATCACCATACTTATTTCTAATATGTGCTGAAATACTGTCGATTCTGATCAGAAATAATAGGAATATAAGGGGGATAAAAATAAATGATAATGAAAACTTGTTATCACAGTTTGCAGATGACACAGCCATAATATTAGATGGAAAAGAAACCTCCTTGAGGGAAACACTCAACATTTTAGATTTATTTTACAAAATGTCAGGCCTTTAAAGCAAATTTAGATAAAACTAAAGCAGTCTGGATTGGGTCAAAAAAATATTCAAAAGAAAAGCTAAGCACAGATTTGAAATTAATATGGGAACAAGGAAAGTTTAAAATTTTAGGGATAATGTTTACAACTGTTTTGGAAGATATAACAGAGTTTAACTTCAGAGAAAAGATAAATAGCGCAACATGATGATGGAGTCCAGTATCAACAGCGCAACAATGTTACCACCCTACGAAGAAGAATTCGAAACAGTTGATAATCTTCATTGGTCTCCAGAAACAGCAAACAGCATTTATTTGTTTTGGATACACCAGCTTCAAGCATCGAGTAAGTCTTTAAACTAATTACTGGGGATAAAAATACTGAGAGGCCACCGCTAGGCCAAACTGTAGTTAACTTGAGCCGCAAAATTCTCACACCCCTTCAGCATTCAATCTTAGACCGTGGACTTAAGTTTATTCCCACACCAAAGATAGCTAACTTGAATTATCTCCGACCATCCATTGAACGATTTCAACGAAATCTTAGCTGCACATATTTTTTTCGAAACCACCCCCCACGTGGTGCTAGAACAATGTTTATTCCCAAATCCACGTGGACACCCCCTCAGGCCGCCATCCATCCTGAAATATTGAAAGCATTTGCTAGTATGAATAGCCAAACAGTGAACCTTTCCATAACACACGAAAAGCCTAATCTCACACGAGTGGAACGTGAAGCGTTAAACTTACTTAAGAAAGACGATAGCATTGTTATTAAAAAGAGTGACAAAGGTTCATGTTGTGTCATTCTGAATAGGGAGGATTACGTTTCAGAAGCAGAGAATCAACTGAATAATCCTAAACATTATGCCATTTTATCGAAACCAATTTTCAAAGAAACTGCTAACATGATTAATAATATTCTTGCCGATTTAGTCAAAACTAGTTATCTCAAACAGAAACAATATCACTATCTGTCTGCCAAACCTGATTGTCGCGAGAGACATTTGTACACTTTGCCTAAAATCCATCAGAATCCAACCAAGGAGTGGTTTATCGCGAATAAAATCCCTAAAGGCCGCCCGATTATATCTGACTGTGGTAGTGAGTCATATGCAGTGTCAGAATACATTGATCATTTCTTACTACCTCTAGCATGCCAACATCGCGCCTACCTTAAAGACACAACCGATTTTGTCAATAAAATAAAAAATCTTCGAGTTCCCTCTAATGCTATTTTAATTTCTATCGACGTTTCTTCTATGTATACCAATATCGATAACACTACTGGTTTAACGGCAGTTCGTAAAGCTTTTAATAGAAACCCAGATCCAAACAGACCCGACGATGCAATTCTACAGCTTTTAGAGATTTGTCTTAGTCGAAACGATTTCACATTTAATGGTAAAACATATTTACAAACTTCAGGGACAGCAATGGGCAAACGATTCGCCCCTTCGTTGTTGAGGGTGCTGAGTTTCTGTTGTGCTTTCTTCGAGATTTTATTTGAAATGGCTATACATGTGAAGAGGATCTTGGAGTTTGGGAAGGTTTTGTTGGCTGTGGCGATTAATTTCTGGGCTTGGTTAAAGGAGGTCTTTGGTATCTGATCACGGTTGTTGAGGCCTACATGAAGAATAATGGTAGTAGGTTTGGGATCATGGTCGTATGATTCCAGGATTGACTGTATGTGATGGATTTGGGCACCGGGGTAAGAATGTATTTCGGTGTCCGAACTGGTTTTGGTAATTCGATTCAGGTTAGATGATCCAATTATTAAGGTTGATTTCTTTAGAGCAGGTAGTTTCCATAATGATTTGTCCTTGGTTTGGTGATAATACGGTTTGGTAGCGGATATAATGGTCGTCGACGGTGTGATTGAAAGCCAGACAAGATAAAAAGAGAAATTATGAATTATTTCACAAACAAACATATAAATTTCAATGTATTTTTATTCTCATGCGGTTCCACATACTTGGAAAGTTTAAAATCAAAAAGTCCTTTTTGGAAAGATGTTTATAGTTCGTGGAAAAGTTTATGCAATATTATGAATGATTCTGGAAAAATCATAGCCTACCCCATCTGGTTCTCTGGTAGTGACAAATTTTTTCTTAAAGAATGGTTTGATAAAGGGATACGTACAAATTTAGATCTTTTTAATAAGAGTGGTGAAATGTATTCATTTAACGATATAAAGCGTATATTTAGATTATGTAATGGAATTTTCCTTGACTACGAAAGAATTATTCGAACAGTCAAAAAAGTATATAAATACGATTGTATAAAACCTACAAAAATGTATGGCCCAAATCTCTCAATATATTATAAAGTTCTTTTTGAACAAACTGGCAGTAGACATATATATGATCTTTTAATAGGAAATAATTCAGTAGAAAATATAAGTCAATTAAAATGGGAAAATAGATTTAATCAAGAAATGGACTGGAAAACAATAAATATGATCGCAGGACGAATTCTTCAAATACTAAAATGATAGAACTTCAATTTAAAATCCAAAATAATATATTAAACAGTAACGTCTTTCTTTTAGGATAGGATATGTGCAAAGTCCACTTTGCACCTTTTGCCAAGAGGAGGAGGAAACATTAGATCATCTTTTTTATGCGTAAATGTATTCAAACCCTTTGGAATCACATCACTTTACTTTTAAAACAAATGCAGATCGATGTTTGTTTAGCTACCCATTAAACTAAAATCCAGAGATAAATGTGTCTTTAATTGTAAAATATTATATATACCTCTGTAAAAGGCAAGACAGGAAGCCAACTATCCAGAACATGATTATTTACATTAATTCACAAATTGACTCTGAGTATTTTCTATCTCTAAATCATAAAAATTCCAACACCTTTAGTGAAAAATGGCTTCTTTTCCGCTCTATTCTCAATAATGTAGAATAATTTAATAACATAAAACTTGTATCTGTTTTGAAAAAAAAAAGAATTCCGGATCATTATCATTAGCGTTTTTTACCTAATTGTTTATTTAGACATGTGTAGCTTCTCCATTGATTTTCGACTTTTCGCCCAATGGCAACA